CTTGGGGCTAGCTCTCTCGGGCCCTTCCGAGGGCTCTAGGAAGTGTCCAAACAGGCCCCGAGAGCGCGCCAATTCAAGAGGCTCCAAGAGGGCCCCGAAAAGGGCTCCAAGAGGGGCCAGAGATCTGTGACCCGAGAGAGGCTTCGCGTGACCCTCCCCTTACGCTCCCTGTTTCCATGCCACTCCTATCACTCCCACTCCCGTCCCTCGCGCCTTCACCGCCCCTCACTCCCAACCCTCACCTCCGTCTGTTTCCCCACTCTCGCCCCTCCAGCAGTGAAGGCTTGTTGTTTTTTCCCCAGGTGCCCGAGGCAGATCTCTCCACCAGTGCTGAAGAAAGTAGCGCAGCAGGGTCCACAAAACTGATATAGTGGCGCCCCAGGCGGTCATTCGCTTTCTTTGAACTTTGAAAGACGCTAGCGTTCGCCTCAAGACGGCTCAAGAAGCTTCCAAGAAGAGGGGCCCAGTCGGGGGAAACGAACGAGCATTTTGAGCCCTCAGCCACGACGAGAAGCCCACAGGAAGCCTCAGGAGGCCCCCACAGAAGCCAGAGGCCCCACCAAGAAGCTCAGAGGCCTGCGGGTGCGCTCCGAAGAGACCCAAAGACGCATCCCAGAGGGGTTGACCCACAACCCAATCACGGTGGTGGGGTGGGCCACAGTAGATGCAAGGGGGGGGAGAGGGACGGGCGAGGAGGGGGAGAAAGGAGGGATGAAGGTGGAGGGGAAGAAGGGGAGAGGGGGGAAAAGGGGGAGGAGAGAAGGGAAGAGGGAGAGAGAGCCTCGGGGCGGGGATGGCAGTGGAGGGGGGCTCGTCGCCGCCGGAGGTGACGGCATCGGCGAACGACGACGTCGACGTCAGCAGCGAGGCCCCGGCTGGCCCTCTCCGCCGCCGGCTCATTGCTTTCTTCCCTCGGAAACGAGTGGCGCGCACTACGATCTCGCTCTGGTCTCGATCCGGAGCGATTGTCATCGAGACACTCGAAACGTTTCACGATCTGAAAGTGCGCGCGCGCCCGTGGCGCGAGCCGCGGCAAGGCCGCGGGTCTTGAAATCTCCTCATCCTCCTCCTCCTCCTCATCCTCATCCTCATCCCCATCTTCATCCTCGTCTTCATCCTCATCCTCATCCTCCTGCTCCTCCCGGCGCCCCCGGGGCTGCCGTCCCTCGGCGAGGGGAAGGACGAAAACAGCGCCATTCCCGAGGGCGCCGATGGGGCCCTGGCGCCCTCGGGGGCTGCCGTCCCCACCCACCTGAGCGGGGGGCGACCGCAGCGCCAGAGGGCCCAGGCTCGTCGTCGTCGTCGTCGTCGTCGTCGTCGTCGTCGGCCTCATCATCATCTGTCTCCTCCTCCTCCTCCTCCTGATCCTCCTTCGCGGCGCCGTGGCCCGCCCGAGCCTAGATGATGCACGCGTCGCACGCGACGTCAGCCTAGTAGTTCAGCTCAGGATTGCTCACAATACCCATGGTGCTGTATGTAGTACAGGCTCGTCGCAGTAGTAGGCGGCGCTGTTGGCAGGCTCGTCGCAGTAGTAGGCGACCCTCAGGGCGTTCCCTCAGGCGTCCTGGCCCGAATCCTCGTCCTCCTCATCCTCGCCCTCAGGATCCTCGTCGGCGGCATTGGGCTTCTTCACCCCCTTCGACTTGCCAGACTGCGCGGCCTTCTTCTTCAGCTCCTCGATGAGCTTCGCCTTCGCGTCGTTGCCCCCCTGCTCGGTCTTGCTCTTCTTGCCCTTCCTGCCTGTCTCCGCGGCCTTCTTGCGCTTCCCCCCTTTCGCAGGCGTGTCATCATTGTCATCTCCTCCCATGCCATCATCGCCGCCAGCATCTTCTTCGGCGTCGTCCTTCTCCTTGAGTTTGCCCAAGAGCTCGGCCAGCCCAGCCTGGTACAAGGGGTGCCCCTCCTTGCTCATGGATCTGAAGATGAGGTCCTCGGAGGCACCCCCCCTCGCGACGACGACGACGACGACGACGACGACGACGACGACGACGACGACGACGACGACGACGAGGGGGATCTCTCCTTCAATCGTTGTCCTCATCCTCCCCCCATCCAATGCTCCTCCATCCGTACGTTGATCGCGTCCACGTGAGCCTGCGTAAAGCAAACGCCCAGGTAGGGCTTCCGCGCGCTGACGCACGCCATAGCCCAGTTCCCATTGGGGCCCGTCAGCTCGATGCACGCCCTGAGGTCGTGAGAGCGCAGCAGCTCCTCCGCGAGAGCCGGCGGGGTCGCGTGGAAGAACACGGGTTGAATATCCTGGCTAGCGGGGTCGTCTGGAGGAGAAAATTATCCTGGCTAGCGGGGTCGTCTGAAGAGCGGGCGTAAATCGAGAGGAGAAGTCCGAAATGCGCAATGGAAATTGCTTGAAGATGCCCTTGCAAAGTGGGACGGAGTTTCGTCGGACGGGACCAGGACAGGAGAGGGATAAAGAGGAGGATTGGAGGAGGATTGACCTTGCCTCTGCCCCCCGCCCCGCAGACGACGGCAGCGACGCCCGGGGCTACGGGCTACTCGACCAGGACCCCCGCACGCTGCAGCAATTGCTTTAACGTTTTCGGATACGTCGGGGGTGGAGGAGGAAGAATGGGGACCTCACTCGCTTTCTTTCTCTATCTGTACATACATGCCCACATACATATACACATCATTGGTACATGGATATAAATGTGGGCGCGTGACTTTCTACATATGTCCCTACATTCACGATTGCGTGTGCGAGCGTATCCCCCCTGACTTACTCCATGTGTGTATATATATATATATATAAATGTGCGTGTCCTATTCGTCTTCCGGCCCCGATTCTCCCCAGGCGTCCTCCTGCCACTCGTAGCCAGGGGGCGAAACTCCGCCGACCGCAATGCGGTTGTCCTTCCCGAAGATCGCTTTCTTGTCCTTGGACGGGAGCTTCCAGAACTCGGCGTCCTTGTAGGACTGCAGGCTCACGTAGCCCAGGAATGTCCCGCGGTTCGTCCCCTGGTAGTGCTTCCTCGCGCGGCCGTTGAGGTTCAGGGCGTAACGGCTGACGCAATGCATCTGGTCCTCCTGTTGGACCGCACCTGCGGTCTGCTTGCGGTACCGCTCGACGATGCTAGACTCCGCGTAGCAGATGAACACGTCGAAACACTCCTTCGCCATCTTCCCGTCATCGTCAGCGAAGTTGTTAATCATGGGGGTGGCGTTCCCGTGCTTCCCGCCGTCGAAATTCAGGTACACGTCCCCTTCGTGGAGCCCCGCCAGGCCCCTAGAACGAACCATGCCGCTGATAAGCTTCTTGTGGTGCGGCTGGCGGAAACTGGGGATGCGATGATTTGGGCAAGTGATCGTCTCTCCAGAAGTCCTGACGTCGTAGACGATGCCGACGTACTGACCCCTGCTGGCGTCACCCCTCATCTGGCCAGCCGTGGACGCAGCGATCATCTTGCTCAGTTCGTTCTCGCTGGACGGCTCCACGATGAACTTGCAGTGCGTCTTGAGGAGCGTCTTCGCGTATTGGCGGTAGTGGTTGAGCTTCTTGACATCGTCATCGTCAGCATCCTTGGCGAGCTCCGTGAACTTCTCCTCGACGACGGAGGCTCCGAAAGCTTGCTGGGCGGGGGCAGCGCCCATCTCGCCGCTGCCGTTGCCGGGGTCGCCGACGGTGCTGCTGGGGGCGGCCCCAGCCTGAGGCAAGTGCTTACCCTCCTCCTCGTACTCCTCGTTGATTTCATTGACGAACTCCACGATGCCCGTGGATTGGAATGTCTCAGCAGCGTTCTTACGGTTGCGGATGCATCCCTTGATGACCGCGTCGTAGTTGTCCTTGAACAGTATCGCCTGGCGGGGCCCGCCCGCCCCCTTGCCTAGCCCCGGGCCCCTCCCTCCGTTGACTACTTGTTTCTATGTCATCTACCTCAACGAATTACCAGAGTTGCCCGCCGCCCGCTTCCCCCCCCAAAAAAACTTTTCCTTTCGGGGAAGGATAACCCCCTCCCCTCCCAGTTATTATTCCCATCCTGTGGTGTTGGGTCCTCGTTTTGAAGGGACAGCGCCACGCGTTCCTCTCCTCTCCGCCCTCTCCTTCCTCCTCCCCATCCTCCCTCATCCCACCATCGTCGTCATGCTCATCAGCATCATGGTCATGATCATCATCATCGTCATATTCATCTTCATCTTCACCATCGTCATCACCATCATCCCCATCATCATTATCAGATTCATATTCATATTCATCGGCGTGGTCATCATGACCGTCATCATCACCATCGTCATCTTCACAATCATCATCATCATCATCATCATCATCATCATCATCATCATCATCGATCTCGTCGTACCCCCTCACACGTTTCGTGGCCATACACGGGGCTCCACCGAATTCCCCAGTGCTGGACCTCGGATGCCGCCCCCACACCCATTTCGGCACACCCTTCACGTTTCGTGGCCCCATAGGGCGCTGCACCGAAGGCCCCAGTGGCAGGGTTCACATGCCGCCCCCACACCCATGTCGGCACACCCCTCACCCGTTTCGACACACCCCCCACACTTTCATAGGGAGCTCCACCCATAGGGAGCTCCGCCGAAGACTGGATTTACACATGCGCTGCCAAGTTATTTTTAGGGGGGATCCGCAAGCAGTCAAGGCGTCCAAGATGGCCCGAGATGGCTCCAGGAGGGTCTCTGAACTCCAAGAGGGCCTCCAAGATGGCTCAAGATCGCGCAAGATCTCTGAACATGACCTCCATCATGTCTCCAAGAGGCCTCAAGAGGGCCACAAGACTGTTTCAAGTGCTTGCGATACGCGAAGAATTCGTCGTGCCGCCCGCGCCCCGCCCCATCCTAGGATGGCCGGCAGCGGCGACGACGCAGGCCGAGCGCGCCAGCCGCGGGGCGGGGCAAGGAAGAAGGGGAAGGATGATGAGGATGACGAGGAGGAGGAGGAGGAGGAGGAGGAGGAGGAGGAGGAGGAGGGGGAGGAGGCCCTCAACACCCCCACTCTTGTTCTCACGTTGCTGCCCCGCCTCGCAGAGCTGGAACGCGTTCTCCGCGGACCCAGGCCAAGTCCCCCGGAAGGTGATGTCGCCGTCGCCGTCAGTGAATCCACAGGCTTGGCGGTAGGCCTTGTGCGAGGTCAACACCGAGCGCATTTTCTGCCGAATTTGGGGCCCCCACTGCGTGTAGGAATCGATGAACTCCGAGATGATATAATTCTTCAGCTCCAGCTTCTGGTTCGTAAGGTCGATGAAGCCCTTCCCACCAGACTGGGGCCCCGTGCCCTGGATGTACCTCAAGGACAGCGTCTCGCCGTGCATGGCCCCGCTCATCCAGGCGTCGTGGATCGTTGCGACTGCCCAAAACACTTTCTCATCATCTTTTGCCTTCAAGGCTATGTTGTATATCTTGGTCAACGCATTGATGGGGTTCGTTTGGCCGAACTTCGCATCGAGCTCAAAGACCAGGGCCACGACGTCGGGGAGGTTCATGATGCGTTTGTCCACGAGGTTGGCCATCTGGACGTAAGTGTCCGAGATGGTCTCTGCGTCGTCCGACTGCTGCACGCCCTCCCGGAAAGCAGTTGCCAGTTGAGCGTTGGTCATCGGCCCCACCGTCTTCTCCTTGCGACGCTTGAAAGCGAGGAGCTCGCAGAGCTCCTTCTGGGTAGGGGGAGGGGGGCTGAGCTCGCAGGGTCGAATCCGCCGTCGGAAGGATGAAAAAGAAGGGGGGCAGGGGAGAGGAGGGCAAGGAAACGAAAACATCAACGAGCCCATGGATCAGGGGGAAAGGTGCACAGGGATTAATGGGCAACGTAATGCGAAGCGCTCCCCGGGCGCGCCGCAATAGCGTCGCATTGTCAGAAGTGTTCCAAGGGCCCCGAGGAGGTCGTTGCGTCTGATGTGCAGTTTCGGTCGGCACCTGTATCGTTTTCCATTCGTCGTTGCTCATGCGTGTTGCTTTATAAAGCATTTCACGTGTACCGTTTGGTGAGTTTTCGTGGAGAGTCGCGTTACCCCCCTCCCCCTGCGGGATCCTGGAGCGCCGTGAGCTTCATGGCGGCGCTGTCCTGGGCGAGGTTGTAACGAATCTGTCGGCCTGCCCTCCAAATCTCGTCGTCCGATTCCAGGATGACGTACTGGAACGGGCAGCTCAGGATGATCTGTTTCCATTGATTCATGATTTCTTCGTCCTTGTTCTCGGTGATGTCGCGAGCGATTGCCTTCAGCATTGCCAGCCGAATCTCGAAGGGGGTGATGCACGCGACCCTGCCCCATAACGGCTTGGGGCTCTGGTCCTTCTGGACAGCGCAGACCATCGGGTGGGGCGGCGGCGCCGGAGTGCTGAAGTGGAACTCAACCAAGCGATCGATGTTTCTCACATTGAAGGCAACGCCGCGGGTGGTCGACAGCGAATGGTTGACGGAGAGCAGGTTGTTAGCGCACAAGTAGCGGGCCGTCTCTTTCAGGGCGGTCATGCACTGATCCTCGTCGTACGGTGCCTGGGGCAAGGCACCATGCACCGTTCTCGCGCATCCCGGCCCTCATATCCTCCCTCCGTCCCCCTCCCCCCTCCGAGGTGGAGGGGGGAAGGTGTTGATTTGATGTCAGTCTTTCAGTATCAAGCTTTAGCATGTGGACCCCTCAACAGTCTCGCGTCCTGGGAGCGGGGCCCAGGTCGTTGCTATCATTTGCTGCGGCATGCATATATCAAATACCCTTGCTATCATATGATATGATGTTGTTTGGGTCAAGGGTTATATCTATGCTATCCTATGCGATGCCTTTGTCTGGCCGTTACTATCCTATCCGACGGTATCATGATGCTATCCCATGCTATGATTTTGTTTGAGTTACGGCTTAAAGCTAGGGGTGCCATCAGTAGGGCCGTGACGGGCTCACATTCGATCATCCTGCCTGCGACCCAGACGGCGGGCCATCCTGCTCGGTCACCCTGATTTCGAGCGCATCGGTGTTCTCGATGCCAGCCCAGGGCACGTACTCCTTAATGAGTTTGATGCACTCCTCAATCTCGACGTAAGCATTGGCGTTCATCTCGGTCACCTTCTGGGGGTCATCCTCGGAGACGCGCTGCGACGCGCGCGCATCCTCGATGACCTGATGAGCCTGCTGCTGCTGCTGCTGCTGCTGCTGCCCGGCCTTCGGTTTGGCCTTGGCCACTTTGCCAGCCTTGGGGACTCCCAGAGAGGGCAGCACAGGGCCCCCCAAGTGTCCCACGAGCTCCTGAACTTGGCCCAGGTGCATTCCCGAAACGCTTCTGGCCCAGAATCGAATCATCGGACCCTCGAGAGATACCCGGAGCGGGCGGAGACGACAATCGGCCCCGACCAACATTGGGCATGGGGGATGTCTATCAGAGGTCCCGAAGAGTTATGGATTCATATCGCAGCCTTGCCGGGCTTGCCTCCTGCCCCTGCTGCGGCGGGCGCCATTGCTGCGCCAGACGTCAGTCTCGCGTGCGTGGATCGTAACACCAAAGCTATAATAGCTCTTGGGATGGCAGCGGCCACGGTGGGAGGGGGAAGGGCGAAGGATGAAGGGTGAATGGGGAGATGAGCGAGCCCGCCCCTGACCGCCGGAGGCAGCCGCATCGATCACCCCGACGAGCGCGACGCGAGTCCGAGGCCCCTCGGACCCTTGCGCACCGCCCGTTCTCTCTGACAGGACAGCCTCTGAAGAAATCGCCCGAGGGGGATTGGCATGGGTGCAATATGCTTGCAATCGTACTGTCGCACATGCTTGCATGGCATAGCACTGCATCGGCCCTTCGGAAGCCCTGACGACGACGACGACGCCGACGTCGACGCACCAGGACACTCCGCCTCGCAGGGGGGAAACCTTCGAGGGGAACTCCATTTTTTCAGCGTCGGCTAGATTGACGCATCCTGAATGGGGGGGGCGTGCATTTGCATACGCGCCTCATTCAGTCCCGGGCGCTCAGGCCTGAATGGGCCCTCGAATCTCGATCGCGTCACGCGATCTTGTTCCTGCACAGGGAGTGCCGGTGCAAGAACACTGTCGCGTCCCAAGGACGCGTCCACCACCCCTCATTCAGCTCCGGGCGCTCAGGACTGAATGAGGGGAGTTTGCAAATGCAGACCCCCCCCATGCAGGTGGCAGTGTTCCAATGGCTAAAAACAAAATGGGATTCCCGAACAAGAACAAAATGTTTTTCTCTGAGCGTGTATCCCCGAATGTCACTGTCACGACTGAGGCTGCCTTCGCACGTTGAAGGCCTCCCGTGCCTCAGTATCCGCAGATGCCCACGGCGGAGGAGCCCTCGTCGATCTCGCCCCGCCAGAGAAGCTCGGCCTCGGCTACCGTCAGCTTGTAGACGATGTGCCGGTACTCCTGGCGTGGCAGAGGCAACGGGCAGGGAAGCGCGGGGTGGCGGGGGCTCAGCAGATGGGGAACACAGCAAATTACAAAGAAATGCAGTGCCCTGGTGCGCCACTGCGAAACAAATTAGCATGACGGGGATCGTCGTCGTCGTCGTCGTCGTCGTCGTCGTCGTCGGCGGCGGCGGCGGCGGCGTCGTCGTCGCCGTCGTCGCCGCCGTCTCTCTGCTGGGCGACGCCCCACCGACCCCGTCAACAGCCGATGCAAAGTGATTACAGGGGGGGCTATCGTGTTGGACCTCATTGCGCGCGGGGCTGGCGGCCAGAACTTTGTGCGCGAAGCACCACATGAATAAGGTAAGTGCGTGCATGTGTGGCGCGTGCATTGTTGCGCGTGTAGACCTGCAACGTGCAAGGGTGCATGCGAAACGTAGCGCAAATTCATGAGAGGAGCAGCGGCATTCCTGCTCGTTCTTCTCGCTCAGCGCCAAGAAGCAGATGTGGGTCAGGGACTTCCGGTTGCGGGCACTTTCCAAGAAATTCCCCTTGTCGGCGAACCATTGCCACTTGGACTCCACTCCAGCTCGCGTGAGGGTTGAAATGATATTCCAAATCACCGCGTGCTTAGTCTTGAACTCGTCCGACGCCCATACCGCCCTCCTCAACCTCCGGACCGATTTGCACTGCATCCAGGGCCCCTTCTTGCCCCCAGTCTCGACCGCAAGAGCACTGCAGACCATGAGCCCAGCTAGGAACGCTGCCCATGTATTTCTTTGGCCGATATTGGACAGGTCCGACACAGCTATAACATCGGCTTTGAGCCTGTCGTAAGAGCGAGTCATACCATTCCTCACCAGTAAGGGCCCCAACTTGGAAACGGTGTCTTGCGCCAGGCTCTCGCTGAGATATACAGATTTGCCCGTCATATCTCTAGTGGTCGGGCGCCCCCGCTTGCGTCTCCTTGCTGCTTGATTCAAGGCATATTGATGGTCGAGATGAGATTGGTGATCCGAGAACTCTACCAGCTCCTTCGCTAAGTCTGCCCCGACTTGATCGATATCTATAGTCCCAGTTAGAATCGCATCCAATAGTTTGCTGTTCTCTTTGTCTTTCTGGAACGAGGCCTCTCGGGTGGGCGGCTCCTCTGCCCCATGCCCTTCTACCTTTTCTCCCCCGCCATCCTCCCTCTTCTCCATCCCTTTCGGGGGGCAAGGTGACGCTGGGGGGCGGGCGAAGGGGGAGGGGGAGTTAGGGGAGAGTCAAAGGATGACGGCGAGACCCTGGCCTCTTCGTCATGTTTCTGCGCCCAGGTCTCGAGATGGACATTGCCCGTCGAGGGGGCCCCGCCGATGGCCGCCAAGCCATTCGTAATGGCTTGCCGTCTCCCCTCGATGAAGCGCTTCTCAGTTTTAACGTTCCGCTCCTTTCTCTTCGAGTTCGTGTCACAGCGAGGCTCTCTGTCCCCCGTCCGCGCGTCTCCGTAAAACAGCGACCATATTTTCTGGAGATGTTCCCATTTCTCGGCGGCCCGCCGCGGCAGGCCAACTTGGGCGACGACTGCCCCCAGGCCTGGCCAGATGGCACCAACGCGGCGCAGGGGAAGAGGGGGGGTCAGAACGGGCAAAGGAGGCAACGAGGAGGAGGATGAGGACGACGACGACGATAATAATACTACGATGATAGTGAAAGAGAAAGAAAAAAGGAGGGGGAGATGGAGGAGGATGAGAAGGGTCGAATCGAAAAGAGCGCGAGGACGAGGATTGACAAGGCGGATGCCAACGCTAAGAGATGGTGGAGTAGGGGAAGAGGATAGGGCGCGTTGGAGAAGGGGGCGCTTGCACTAAAGTGTCCGGTCTCCCTCTCTCTCCCCCATATTGTCCTAGGCCCCGCATTGCCCATCCGGTCTTCGGGGAGATAGCTAGATGGCGGCGAATTGCATCAGCTTGGGAAGCTCCCCTTCCCCTCATTCGCTTGTCATTGATTGTATCCGCCCACCCCCCTCCCTCGTGATAATCATCAGATTGAGAGGGCCGAACGGCCTTGCAGTGTCCCTGGGTTCGCGGCTGCGATGGGGATCCCTTGCCCTCGCCCGCCCTCCGCCCGCCCGAGCCCTCAATCTTATCGGCAACTGCGTGGTGCTACATATTCCTCCTCCATGTCTTGGCCCCTCCTCCACCCACTCGTAACCAGTCATACCACTCGTCGTCATCATCGTCATCGTCGTCATCGTCGTCATCATCATCACCGTCATCGCCATCACCAGCATCATTTAAATCGCGCTCTCCTGCGCTTCCAACATGA